AAATAAAGCTTTCACCTCAGCTGTTAACAAGTTGCGACCTTTGTTCACATTTCTTGGTGAAAATTAGCTTATAGCACCAATTAACATCAATTATTAACTTTGAGATTAATAATTTATTAAAGGTCCAAATGCAATGCTAGAAGGACCAGGAGCCAATGAGCAAAACAACACGGGTCTAATTGTAAGGCTTTTAATGAGAAAGCCTAGAATTTGCTGGCTGATTTTAGTCCCTCTAAATGCTTTCTGTTTCCTCTTTAAAAACCGCATGATGGGAAGATAAAGCCGTTATATGAAGTTGATATTGTTTTCTTAATGCATAAGTCAAGTCAAAGGCATGGAAGAAGGTAATACTTGTTTTAATAACATGGGTAAGCTGGCAAAAATGTGGCCAAGTGTACAGCAACTAATCAGCTGTTAGAAATGTAGACAGTCATTTCTCAAAAAGGAGCATAATCCAAGGAGAATATGCAATGTGGGTCTAAAGACCGCATTTAATACACTGTATACTCTCAGCCTATAGCAAAAGAAGCATCCTGAAAACTGAAACAGATTCTATTTTTACTATGTTCTATGATTACAATGCAGTACCCACATTGTTATACACTATATGGCCAAAGGTTTGTGAACACGTGACCATCACTCCTATATGAGCTTGTTGACCGTTCCATGACAAAATATGGTCATTAATATGGAGTTTGTCCCCTTTTATAGCTATAACTAAGGCTTCCCATCTGTTTCTTGGAATATGTCTTCTGGATTTTATGCCCTTTAAGCTAAAAAAAGCATTTATGCGGGCAGGTACTGATACTGGACAAGAAGACCTGGCTTGCAACTGATGTTTCAATTAATCTTGAAGATGTTCAATAGAGTTCACATCAGGAATGTCAAGTTCCTACACACCAAACTCATCCAACTGCGTCTTTATGGAGCTGGGTTTGTGCCTAGAGGCATAGTCATGCTGAAAATGAAAGTGCCTTTCCCAAACTTTTGCAAAGTCATATATGCACATTTGGCTAAAATATCTATGAATGCTTTAGCAATAACAGCACTGTTCACTGAAACATCTAAACACAATAATTTGAAGAAGTGTTTCCAAACATTTGGCCATATTGTGTATTACAATGTCTAAAAAATATGTATACCTTTTATTTGGGATGTTTCTGGTACCACCTTGCTGCGCTATACTTTACCAGCCTGCTGCACACTACTTACTGACTTACATTCTATTTTGTGGATTGTCTATTTTGTGGACAGAAGTTGCAAACAAGGATGAATCTGCACAGACATACCATCAAGGAACATAAAGAAGGTGACCTTTGCACACCTGTGGGACACCATTTCACACAACCAGGCCACAATATGGAAGACCTCAATGTCTTGGTTCTGAAAGGAAAATTCAAATCTATCCAGGAAAGAAAAACATTTGAACTAAGAATGATAATTCTATTTGACACAAAAGATAACGTCCTTAACTTGGACATGGGATTCCTCAACCATTATCCGACAGCTTTATGACTATCTATTAGCTGAAGCTTGACCCCCTCTGTGTGAGTGTAGTATTCCCCCCCCCCCCCCCCTCGCTCTTGATGTTACTTATCTGTAGACATTTTTTTTTTCTTCTCAATCCCTTCTTACATTCTGCTTAAACTTTGTGATTTGTAATAGTACTTTTTGGACTTTGAAGAAGGGGACATACCCCGAAAGCTTGTCCTCAAAATTGTATGTTAGTGCAAATAAAAAAAGTATCACGGACAGTACTCAATTGTTTCTGTTGCAAATGCATTAATACGGCTACAATCACCTCAAGCAAAGTGGATTGTCTGTGAAATTAATTGTTGCTGGCAGTCCTGGAGGCACTGAAGGGATTAGAGGAGAAACCCCTATATGAAAACTGTATATGAATCCTCCCTACAAGTTCTATACCAATGCACGTTAATCTGATGGGAAGGATTCTATTGAAAAAAATTAATTCATGAGAATTTACTTTATCGTTCTTAGTACCAGAAAATACACAGATATGCACACTCATTGCATTCTCAGCATATAGCCAAGCACGAGCCCAGGTTTAAGGGACGCTATAGTCTTTTTTTTGATTGAGCATTGAGGAAGTCTTATTTTTGTGTAGAGTTCATAATCATATGGGGTTTATGTGTTTAAAGCCCAGCTCTAGGCAATTGTTTTTCATTAGCATGACTGCTACTCATGTTCCCTCATTTACAAAGGACCACTGTAAAGGACCACATAACTAGTAATTCAAAAAAATCCAAAAACCGGTCATTGAATGCTACAGAACTCTTTAAACAGTATATAAAGTCAGCCAAACGGTTATCAAATACTAATTAAATATTGATGATTAATACCTAATAGTTGTGTGTAAATGAACTCTGTACAGTGTCAAGGTGAAAGCAAGCATTTGCACTTTTATCTAGCAGAGCTAATATTATGATATGGGATTATCGCCAGTGTACAAGCCGTGTGCAAAGATCAGCAGCTGTGCATAACTGACACTACAGTATTGTAATGAATTTTATTTCTGCCATTTGAAGGGAGAGTAAAATAATATAAATAATAATAATTCGTACTATTATTGTTGTAGACAGGTGCTTGGCTAAGAATGGAGAGTGAGAGAAACACAGGCTGCAGCTGCTCTCTGTAGCTGCTGCCCTGCAGTGCTGAACTGGTTAACAGCTACAGTTGTGCTCAAAAGTTTGCATACCCTGGCAGAAATCGTGAAATTTCTGTATATAAATAATGAGTTTGTTAGCTCTCACATGGATGCACTGAGAAGGCTAGATACTGAACCACGGAGACCAGAAAATAACTGACAAAAGACCTGAGTAACAAGGTAATGGAACTTTATAAAGCTGAAAAAGGATATAAAAAGATATCCAAAACCTTGAATATGCCAGTCAGTTCAATCACTTATTAAGAAGTGGAAAATTCCAGGATCTGTCGATACCAACCAAGGTCAGGTAGATCAAGAAAAATTGCAGCCACAATTGCCAGAAATTGCACAATTGCCAATTACATATTAAAACCCACAGGTAACCTCAGGAGAAATAGAGGTTGCTCTGGAAAAAGATGGTGTGGTTGTTTCAAGGAGCACAATACAATGATACTTGAACAAAAATGAGCTGCATAGTTGAGTTGCTAGCAAGAAGTATTTACTATGCCACTGCCACAAAAAGAACCGTGAGGCATGCCAAGATGTTGTCGGATATATTGTAACTTTCTTTGTGGCATTGGCACATTGAAAGCTTCTTTCTTGCAATTCAGCCATGCAGCTCATTTTTGTTCAAGTATCATAGTATTGTGCTCCTTGAAGCAACCAATTTTCTAGAGGGAGATTGCTAGGAGGAGGAGAAAGAGCTGCATTTTATCAAACTGAACAGAACACAGTTTCCTCTTGCAGTGAGGGAGACCAGAGAGTGTACACCGCTGTCCCGTGTACACCATCACTGCTGCAATTTGGTAGCCTGAGCAGGATCCAGAGCACTGAGTTCAGGGGTGCCAACAGCCAAAGTCACCTGGGTGTAGAGGAGGGTGTGAACTAATAGCTGTGTGTGTTTCTGGAGGTAGAGCTGCAATATCAATGGGACTAGTGGGCTGTAGCAATTGTGCATACAGAGATGGATGCGGTCATCCATCTTGCTAAGGATCCTCCATCTTGTATCTCTCTCCCTCCAAATCAACTCCCCCCTCCCTCTCTGTTGAGTGACATGTGGTCTGTATGATGCAGAGATCACAGGCAGCAAGCACAGTAGGAGGGCTTCATAGTTATAAACCCCAATTAGCCTGGCCCCCATATGTCTGCGAGACTCCTGCTTGGAAAAGGATCGTAAAACCATAAACCAGTCCTTCGCTGGGCTTCAAAGACATTCCAGATAAGCCGTAAAACATATATCTAGACGTTCAGCAGATGCTTCTGCATATTAATCTACTAGTGGCTAGGCTGCTACATGCACCGAGGGTAAGTTATGGATCATGATATAAGCTGCGAGGTATTTTGGTTCTAGCTTGGGTCTCCGCCTCCAATACCCTCCCCAAATGAGGCAACTGGTTCTCTGCTTCAAGGAGACACCCTGCTGAGTTCCTAGAAAGGCTGTTATGCTTGGAGCAGAAAGCAGAGTTAAGCTGAGCAGAGTTGAGTTGAAGTTGAAGAATCCTCCCTTTTAACATCGGAACCAACTTTGGGAGAAAAGGCCCTTTTGCTCAGGAAACTTGATCTGCTTAACCCAGGAATTTTGGCAAGTACTTCACCTCTCTAAATTTCTTTCTGTTATCTCTTTGCTGTGTTATTGCTCTCTGTATATTTATATATATATTGGCTACATCGTTTTCTGTAAATATTTTTATTGCACCCTTTTGACCTTTTAGAAATAAATCTTACTTTCTGAAAGTGTTTGAACTGTTTCTAAAGCTCTTTAATGCAAGCTAAGAATCCATGCCTCTTGTAATTCCTACACCATTCACCTGATTTGGATGTACCGTATTTTCCGGCGTATAAGGCGACTGGGTGTATAAGACGACCCCCTAATTTTCCAGTTAAAACATAGGTTTTGGGCTATACTTGCTGTATAAGACTACTCCCCTTCTGAGGCAACACCATTTAACCCCTAGCCTACAGGGCACTTATACCCACTTCCCTCCCAGGCCAATTTTCAGCTTTCAGCGCTGTCACACTTTGAATGACAATTGCGCGGTCATGCAATACTGTACCCATATGAAATAGGTGGCACTGATGAGGAGGCACTGGTAGGTGGCACTGATGGGCATTGACAGGCATCACTGATGGGCACTGAAAGGCAGCACTGATACATTGCACTGATAGGCGGCACTGATAGGCAGCACTGACTGGCACTGTTAGGTGGCACTGACTGGCACTGTTAGGTGGCACTGCTAGGCAGCACTGACTGGCACTGATGGCAGGGCGGTACTGATGGGCAGCACTGACTGGCACTGATTGGCAGCACTGATAGGTGGCACTGATGGGCATTGACAGGCATCACTGATGGGCACTGAAAGGCAGCACTGATAGGCGGCACTGACTGGCACTAATAGGTGGCACTGACTGGCACTGATGGGTGACACTGAAAGGCAGCTCAGATGGGCACTGATGTGTGGCATTGATGTGCACTGGTAGGCACTGATATGTGGCATTGATGTGGCACTGATGGACACTGACAGCTGGCACTGCTGGGGCTACACTGATCATCAGGGCACATTGATCATCAGTGCCCTGATGATCAGTGTACATGTCCCCTCCGCGGAAAGCCGATTACCGGCTCTCCTCTCCTCTCGAGCTGTCAGAGTGACAGCTCGAGAGGAGAGAAATGCCGATAACCGGCATTTCCCTGTTTACATGTGATCAGCTGTGATTGAACACAGCTGATCACATGACCGAGCCGACATCTCGGGCTCTTTCCGTGATCGATGATCCGCTGTGTCCGAGGGACACAGTGCATTGCCGCGCATGCGCGGAGAATGGGAGGACGTCATATGAGCCAATCACGGCAAGTGATGTATTCTATTAATGAATACAGAGCTTGCTCGGATTGGCTGCGTCAACGAGGCGGGCTGATGATGTCACAACTTCAGCTAATCTGAGCAGGCTCTGTATTCATTAATACAATACATCGCTCGCCGTGATTGGCTCAGGCGGTACACTGTATGTAGCTGAAGCTACCGTACAGTATTACCGCACATCCAGTTGTTCTTTACCCGGCGTATAAGACGACCTCCAATTGTTGGGGTATGTTTTTAAGTAAAAAAAAGTCATCTTAGACGCCGGAAAACACGGTAAATACCCTCAAATTAAAGCCGACAGTCTGCAGTTAAAGCACATCTTGTTTGTTTCATTTCAAATCCATTGTGGTGGTGTATAGAGCCAAAAATGTTAGAATTGTGTCGATGTCCCAATATTTATGGACCTGACTGTATATAGATCCTATCATATGTATCTGACCCCCCTTTCTCTCTGCCTAGTAGATTTCTCTGTATAGAGGATCTATGGGAACTCTCTCTGTACATGGGATCTCTCTGTGATTTGGATTTCTGTCTCTCTATATAGTAGATCTATCCCAATCTCTCTCTGTATATGGGATCTCTCTGTACAGTAGATCTCTATGTATATGGATCTGTATGAACCGTAGGGTTCAATATTGAGTTGGCCCACCCTTTGCACCTATAACAGCTTTGACTCTTCTGGAAAGGTTGTCCCACGAGGTTTAGGAGTGTGTCTATGGGAATGTTTGACCATTCTTCCAGAAGCACATTTGTTTGGTCAGGCATTGATGTCAGATGAGAAGGCATGGCTTGCAGTCTCTGCTCAAAATCATCCCAAAGGTGTTCTATCAGCTTGAGGTCAGGTCTCTGTGCAGGCCAGTCAAGTTCCTCAACCCCAAACTCGCTCATCCATGTCTTTATGGACTTTGCTTTGTGCACTGGTGTGTAGTCATGTTGGAACAGGAAGGGGCCATCCCCAAACTATTCCCACAAAGTTGGGAGTATGAAATTGTCCAAAATGTCTTGGTATGCTGATGCCTTAAAAGTTCTCTTCATTGGAACTAAGGGGCTAAGCCCAACCCCTGAAAAATAACTCCACACCATAATCCCTCATCCGCTTTACACGTGGCACAATTCAATCAGGCAAGTGCCGAAATGTTTGGAGGTCTTTAGCTATTGACTCTCCAGACACTTTATTACTTCTGTGCACTGTGCTCTTCAGGATGTGCTGAACCCACTCTGTCATTTTACATGGCCTACCACTTCATAGATGAGTTGCTGTTGTTCCCAGTTGCTTCCCCCAGCACTTGTAGGTGAGTTCTCCAAATCAGATCCTTAGGTGAGATTGCTTGGTTAGCCCCAAAGTTGATTAGAAATATCCCCCCCCCCCCCAGCTATACCACAGCTGGGACCTCAGTGATTATTAGCAAACTCCAGCAAAACTGCCTCAGAAGGACAGAGCCCTTGAGGCTGTGAACATCTCCAGCAGGACAAGAACATAGCTGCTCCAAACCCCAGACTATTTATGTTCTCTCCAACCTCCTACTGGGAACACCTCCCCAGGGATAGGCTGAAGCACAAAAAATATTCACGCTGCCCATTTGCCTATCCCAGCTCTATGTTCTTGAAACCTCGAGAAGGCAGGGGGAACCGTTAAACCTGCCACCTGTGAGAGCTAGAGCAGCCCAAAGAAATCAAGAGCTGTTCCAAAGATTACAGAGGAGCCAAAAATACCTCAAGTTGCCATATTTACAGAGGAGCCAAAAAGATCTTAAAATTACTCAGGAATAGGTTCTTTTTTTTTTTTAAGTGAAAGCGGAATTGGGCTTTAATGGGAATGCTGTCACTGCAGTTTCACAAACATGCACTGCTTGTTTATTGGTAATATAATATTTCCCACAGAAATGGGGGTTTCAGTTTTCACTACCAAATATGAGTTTCTAAGCTGTATAAGTTCCCCACACCCTGATGGTTGGCAGAACATTACTGGGCAGCATTCCTGGGTGTACTGAGACACTTGTCTCCGGCTCATCGAGACATCAGTAAATAACTGGCTCCACCAAATTTTACTAGGATAACAGTGCTAAATCTGTACAGCTATTTCTCTTCTCTACATAAGACAAATCACATTCCAGAAAGAACTCAACCATAAAATGCTAAGGATTGAACTGATTTTTTTTTATTTTGAAGAAAAAAATGTTAATGCTTTTAACTGACTTGAAAAAGAAAACCAGCTTTAGATTTTTGCTGACAGTTAAAGTTTTTTTAAAAATGTGGAATGATTGAATATAAAAGTCATGTGATGTTCTAATGCATATGGTGTTCTAATACTGACAGCGGACCTGTCTGTAACTTTCCAGTTCTGCAAGAATTAAAGCAGTAGTAAACTCTTGTAATAAAGCTTACCTTACGTGCACCATTTAGGAGATGTTAGCTCTTTTTGATAGGAGGCACATGCGCTCTGAAAGATTGGCATACCCTGTGCCATGGCCTGGGACTCTTGCGCACATGTCATCGCAGCTCGGCCAGACGGCTGGAGCTTGTGAACCTGGAAGGAAGATGGAAGCCCTGTCAGCAGTGAGAGCACTCCGCTGGAGAGCTTTGTTTTAAGGTAAGTTCTTCATGATCTGCTAATGTGCTAGTATGCGATGCAATTTGCTAGAGATTTTCTTTTTTTACTACCGCTTTAATTCCTGATATGTCCCACTATACAGCAACAGTATAATTTTTTAAAGAAACCATATTATAAATCATTAAATGGCAAACCATGGGCTTCAGTCAAGTTACTTTGTCTAGGCTGGGATGATGCCACCAGACCAGGGGCAGACTGACAACTCATGGGGCCCCCGAGAAATAGGGGATCATGGGGCCCCCATGTCCTCGCCCACACCCAAATAGCCTATGAAAAAGCCAATGAAAGGTACCAGGGGCATCTCATGGGGCCCCCTACTGACCCCGGGCCCTCGGGCAGTGCCCGAGTGCTCGAATGGTCAGTCCACCCCTGCACCAGACTGATGCAGGCAGAAAGGAGCTTTTCCCAGTGATCAGACTTCAACATTATAACTTTGTAGCAAGTTTGAAGATCAAAGCGCCACATAGATGTATTAGGCCCCTTTCACACAAGCATTCCAATCAGATCCTTCCAACCATTTTTTAGGTGGACCTGATTGGAAGCTCCATGCAGCCCTATGAACAAGATGATGTAAATGGACTATCCATTTACACTCACCTACCTCCAATAAAAAAAATTGAAAAAGACTGTGTCCTTCTCCATTTTTCTGACCTAAAATCTGCCTGTGTCCACCAGATACAAAATAAATGGGCATGGATGTAAAAAAATCGACAGTTATCCCGTTCAACTCTGATTCAGCAAGGGATCTGCCCTTGGATCCCCTGTGGATAGGAGCGGGCTCTGCTCTATGTGAAAGGAGCCTTAGAGTCCAAAATATGGTTGTATTCCCAACATATATTAGGTACAACAGCCAACGCATTTCAGGAACCACACAACGCCCCCTTCATCAGGACTTAAGAAGATATGGAATCAGCTGGTATGGATTCAGACTGTGAATTTAAAATCTGAATTATAAAAAGAGCTCAGTAACATTCAGCAGCTAGGTTAGGCCAGGTTGGGTTGTGTGGCACTGTGTTGTTGCTGAAACGCGTTGGCTGTTGCACCTATTATATGTGTGGCATAAAATCATGTTCTGGACTCTAAGGCCTCATCAACACTGGAGGATGATAACAGCTGCCCTGGATGTTTTTCTTTCTGATAGCAAAAAAATGCTTGACACTGGTAAAAGTGTTTACCATGTTTTCACATGTTTACCCCTGTCAAGCGCTTGGGCATTTATTCATTTCATTGGCCAGAATAAATAATTTATTCTGGTTACTAAAATGAAAAAGTCACCCAAACACTAAACGCGCCTAATATTTACACACATTTTTGCCGCATTTGGCATTTTTCTGTCAAAACACTCCTCTCTTGAACGCGATTCTTCTGTGTTCAGGAGAGGAGAGTTTTACTGCCTTTGAGCGTTGCTGCTTCTAAACTCTGGTAAAAACCTATGTGTGCATGGACACATAGGCTTTTATTGAGTTGAATACTTATGTGCCGAACACCCCTCAACACATTCGACATAACGAAACTTCGACCGCGAACTTCGAACAGAGGAGACAATTCACTAAGCGGTATCTTAGTATGCAGTAAGGTACTGCACAGCTGCTAAAATACCACATGAGTTATATTATTAAGCCATCCGGTATTTTAGTAGTGAAAACATTATTTCATGTTTCAGCTGTCAGCAGGATTCCCTGCTGACAGCTGAATGTAAAAAGAATTGCTGGCATTGCCTGGCAATTGAAACATCCCCCCCCCCATCCATACTAAGCCCTTTAGATCTGGTATGGATTTTGAGAGGAAACCCCACTCCAAAATTTAAAAAAAATGGCATACCAGACCCTTATCCAAGCATGCAACCTGGTAGGTCAGGAAAGGGGGGGGCAGACAAGTGCCCCTCCCCTTCCTGAACCATACCAGGCCACATTCCCTCAACATGGGGCTGATGCTTTGGGGCAGGGAGGACCCCCCCCCCCGAAAGCACCTAGTCCCTATGTTGATGGGGACAAGGGCCTCTTCCCAGAACCGTGGGTAGTGGCTGTGGGGGTCTGTGGGTGGGGGGCCTGTGGGTGGGGGGCCTATCATAATATAGAATCCCCTTTAACAAGGGGGCCCCCAGATCCACCCCCCCATATGTGAATGAGTATGGGGTACATGGTATCGCTACTCATTCACAAAAATAAAAAGTGTAGTGTACAAAATAACAGTCTTTGATAAGGCCTTTATTAAAAACAAAAATTTTAAAAATGTCCCTCAAAGTAGATCCAACATCAATCACGATGCCTGCCGCCACAGCAGACCTGAAAAAAAAAACCCCCCAAAAAACCCACTCTGTTCTCGAAT